CCGCCTTAAGGGACTTTGTCCCAAAAGCTACCCGACGGAGGAGCAATGGGGGGCCTCAATAACACTCAGCTTACAATCAGGACTGTCGGTCGGTTATGGGGGCTAAAATTGCCTGTAATTTGTCAAGTTGTCATGACGACAATAATGGCAGCGTTCGCCTACCTCATTGTTCCCTCGCCCACCCCTGCATAAGTGGTCCCGTAGGGTCACACGTGGGTCACGACTGTGGCCAGCTCCAGTCATCTGCCTAAACGAACTAAACGGCCCCAATTCGCCTTCATATTTGTCATTATAGATATGCAATAGATTTTATCGAAAGGTGCCTCCCGTACAGTCCACGAAGAATCAGCACGACGCTCACAAAATATTTCAATGCATCTTAACTGTGCATTGGTGATGATATAATGGAGGCTAGTAGACAACACTAGGTGCGGTATGAGCATCAATATTTTGAGCAGGACAACACAGTTTATGAGACCTGCTAGATTTATAACACTTGAATGACCACCTGCGTCCTACAGGTACGCTAACACAGAAACATACGCAACATGCGAACTCTCAGAGAAGTATCGGAAAAGAGACTAATCAGATTGTTTATTTCTGGGACGAACTCAAGCGCAAAAACCCTTTCGGAAAAAATGCAACCGACCAGCATATTTCAGGTTCTGTAAACATGTCCAAATGGCAGATACAAGACATTTGAAACACTCTGGCTGCATTACAAATAAATAATGCGAGGACGTTCTCGCCGGCGGAATCCACGACGCCGAATTACATAGGGAAGACGGATCACTTTGTCGGAGCGATATTGTGTGGCTGCTAGGACGCCAGCTCTGACCGAGGATGCAGATTTGATCGCATTTGATGTGCTCTTGAGTTGCCTGTCCTCGGCTCCAAAATGAGATGCCGCGTCTGCGAGATAGCCTTGATCCACTTCGTCTTTTTGGGAAGCAGCTGGAATCTCTGACGCCGAATGCAGCTCTGAACTTATGAGGTTAGAGAATAGAAGGATAACGAGAAGCTGGACGGCCACGTATCTCATGCCGGCAAGTAACAATTTGAATTGTGCGTCCACCGCATGCACAACTTTATATAAATCCAGATGGCACATGTTTATTTCGTTCACGACAACCCACCCAGTCTATCCACCCACGGCAAACGTGCACTTATGGTGCAACAAGCGTAGGTCGCAAGAAATCGGTGTATTAATATGCACTGGCCTAGCGAACGTCCTTCTTGAATGACCGAAAACAAAACTCTGGTCATTCAAAAGAAATCCTAGCATTTCTAGGTCTGCAATTGGTTTCTTAACTCTATCAGCGTAAACATCTCCTTGTGCATTTACTCATCGTATACTATACCAAGTAATTCAAGAAAGTTAGGCTGCGCGAATGACTTCAAAATTCCATCAAAGATGCTAAAAAATGGCAGGATCTGGAAACTCGATTTTCCACGCCAATGACATTTTGCAACCAGAATAACTTATAACCAATGCGCGAAGAGGGGCACTTTTCTGTCCACGCAGTTTCTCTACAGATATCGTTTTCCTGAAAGAAGCTATCTTAAAGTAAATATATTGCAACCAATAAAACTGGCAAAATAGTCAACTGGGACGCCAAACCGGATGCAACAGCAAGCAGGCCAAATATTAAAATAAACAACGTGTGGATGCAGAGTTAATGGCCTGTGCAGTGCGAAGGCATTTTCCGTTATGAGCTCCGCCAGTCAAGCCCTCGTGAACAAAGCCGAGCCTCAGATCAGTTGCATAGACAGGATTCCTGAAATAATAGAATGATTCCAAAGTGACACCGTGACTGTTCCAAAATCGGTTTCACCGATTGTTTGTATACGCTATTGTAATACCATTTTTTCGTAAGTCGATGTTGGCCTACCTCTGCGGACTACTGAATGCGCAATCCAAGTGTCTGTCAAACCTTCTAGAAAGCCTGCAGCATGTCAGCTCATATGGAGATGGTTATGTGTACACTTGAACGCGGTTGACTGCTGGTTTTAGGTCCCTAGAATTCTAATTATCAATGAAAATCTTCATGATTATAATCCCCTCAAGGCTAGCGAATAGCTTTTCAATAATGCAAATTCTTCCAATCTTATGCTATTTCATGAAATGACGACGGACATTCGGAAATGTATTTTAAATTCGAAAAAAACAACTTTAATAGGGCTGTCAAAATAATTACCATGTCTATCAATATTATGATAATCTAGTCACATCAAGATCCTAGCTTTCGAATGGACTTCTTATCGACTGTTTGCATAGACTATACCTCGTATCAATTACTACCTACGTGGCATGCATTTAACACCCTGATATCCAATGTCGTTAAAATTTTCCGTATACGTTGGAGAAAACAATCTCAAAATATTCTTTTGTTTACGCGTTGGGTAGCAAATTACGTCTTCTTCATAGTTATGCTTGAAGTAGAAGCATCTTCGGGTTTTATAAGACTTACACAATTCTTGGATAGTTTTGGACTTAACCTGCCGGTATACTTGCATTCGAGGTTTTAAAAGTGCATGCTCCGTACTTTGAATTTAGGGAATATCATGCGTGTCTATGTGCAATTCAGAAGACACATTGTGGGGCTTAGGAAATTTTGTAATGCATTTTGACCACGTCGTCCGCCTTTTAATTAGCATAATAAATATGCTGATGCGATTCTGCACGATTGAAAATTTCACAGTCCCTTAAAATCCTATAATTAGGCAGGCAGTAAATATTCTTTAAATAGAAAACCATTTCAAATCGAATGATACTCTTTCTTCAAGCGTAAAATCTAAGGATGACATAGCTTGCAAATTACTGACTGAGCAAGAGTATTGCTGCGCACTGTTTCTGCAAAATATATTTGAATACGTAAGGTCATCGTAAATATTTGGAGTAAACTGGGGGTTAAATAATACAGAAGAGCATTTAGCGAGCACACACGTACTTTCTATAAATTCTTATTGGAACGATGTACAGACTGGAACGTGTAAGCGATAAGACCAATCGATTAAGGTTCGTCTTTTCATACAGACAGGCTACGTGAAAGAAAGAGGGAAGGAGGGGAGAGGAGGCAGTAAGGGACAATAAGGGTTAGGTAGATAAGTGTCACGTATGGAGATGGGAGGGGACGGGACACAGAGACAAGCAGACAGTTAATCAACTCTAGTCCATGGCAGACGCAGATCTTGCAATAGGTTCTTCTGCGCGCACAGGATCGACCTCTGAAGCCCGACGACAGTCGTTACTGCTGTTGCTAGTAAGCGCTGACCTAGTTGCTTAGGGTAGTTAGGTGGGGCCTTGTAAGTCACAGTGAAGTGTTCGTCTTTGACCCACACGATGCCCGCAGTCAATTATGGGTGCGAGAATGGAACTGCGCATGCTCTTAACTTCACCTTTTTCCAGCCATGCTTGCAGATGGTCTCGTTTTCATTTGGATAGGCGCCGAACCGCATGAACACTATGGCCTGCTCCACAGGAGCAAGTAAAGGATTAAATTCCCATGGAAGTGGTCTGAGCCGGTTGACTTTCCATAATGCTGAGAAGCCCCAACTCAGCGTTTAAGCTGTTCCACCCGCGTCTCAAAAGGGATTTCAATCAGACGTCCACATGCACTGACCTCCTTAGCAGCCTAGAGTACTGGGCGTTCCAGCCAGACCGAAGTTGTCCTCGAAATTTTGGGCACACACCCGACCCCTAACAGTCGGATAAATCTGAATATGATCACCGCACTGCCGCTCTTATCGCACGCAGTGATGCCTCCAGCCTCTATTATGTCATCACCAATGCACAGTTAAGATGTGCTGGAGTATTTTGTGAGCGTCGGGATGGTTCTTCATGGGCTTTACGGGAGGCACGGTCCGCTAAAATCTATTGCCTATTTCTAGAGACAAATGGGAGTTGTTTTGCTAGTTTAGGCAGATGACTGGAAATGTCCACAGTCGTGACCCACGTGTCACCCTACGGGACCACTGATGCAGGGATGGGCGTGGGAACAATGAGGTAGGCGAATGCTGCCATTATTTTTGTCATGACATTTTGACAAATTACAGGCAATTTTAGCCCCATAACTGACCAACAGCCCTGCTTGTAAGCTAAGTGTTATTGAGGCCACCATTGCTCCTCCGCCGGGTAACGTTTGGGACAAATCTCCTTATGGCGGACTCTTGTAACCCCTCAACAATGTCTTGCTAATGCGGGCTTCTGGAGAGCGTTGATGTGACTTCAGCCTGCTCAAGCAACGTATGCATACTACCGACTGCGTGTTGGCGACTTTTGAACATTCAGAGCCTATAAGGCGGATGCTGGGCTTGACTGGCGGAGCTCATAACGGAAAATGCCTTCGCACTGCACAGGCCATTAACTCTGCATCCACACGTTGTTTATTTTAATATTTGGCCTGCTTGCTGTTGCATCCGGTTTGGCGTCCCAGTTGACTATTTTGCCAGTTTTATTGGTTGCAATATATTTACTTTAAGATAGCTTCTTTCAGGAAAACGATATCTGTAGAGAAACTGCGTGGACAGAAAAGTGCCCCTCTTCGCGCATTGTTCATAAGTAATTCTGATTGCAAAATTTCATTGCCGTAGAAAATCGAGTTTCCAGATCCTGCCATTCTTATACCATCTTTGATGGAATTTTGAAGTCATTCGCGCAGCCTAACTTTCTTGAATTACTTGTTATAGTATGCGATGAGTAAATGCACAAGGAGATGTTTACGCCGATAGATTTCAGAAACCAACTGCAGACCTAGAAATGCTAGGTTTTTTTAAATGACCAGAGTTTTGTTTTCGGTCATTTAAGAAGGAAGTTCGCTTGGCCAGCGCATATTAATACACCGATTTCTTGCGACCTACGCTTGTTGCACCATAAGTGCACGTTTGCCGTGGGTGGATAGACTGGGTGGGTTGTCGTGAACGAAATAAACATGTGCCATCTGGGTTTATATAAAGTTGTGCATGCGGTGGACGCACAATTCAAATTGTTACTTGCCGGCATGAGATACGTGGCCGTCCAGCTTCTCGCTCTCCTTCTCTTCTCTGACCTCATAAGTTCGGAGCTGCATCCGGCGTCAGAGATTCCAGCTGTTTCCCAAGAAGACGAAGTTGATGAAGGCTATCTCGCAGACGCGGCATCTCATCTTGGCGCCAAGGACATGCACCTCGAGAGCACATCAAATGCGATCAAATCTGCATCCTCGGTCAGAGCTGGCATCCTAGCAGCCACACAATATCGCTCCGATAAAATTATCCGTCTTCCCTATGTAATTCGGCGTCGTGGATTCCGCCGGCGAGAGCGTCCTCGCATTATTTATTTGTAATGCAGCCACAGTGTTTCAAATGTCTTGTATCTGCCATTTGGACATGTTTACAGAACCTGAAATATGCTGCTCGGTTGCATTTTTTTCCGAAAGTGTTTTTTCGCTTGAGTTCGTCCCAGAAATAAACAATCTGATTGGTCTCTTTTCCGATACTTCTCTGAGAGTTCGCATGTTGCGTATGTTTCTGTGTTAGCGTACTTGTAGGACCCAGGTGGTCATTCAAGTGTTATACATTTAGCAGCACTCATAAACTGTGTTTTCCTGCTCAAAATATTGATGCCCGTACCGCACCTAGTGTTGTCTACTAGCCTCCATTATATCATCACCAATGCACAGTTAAGATGCATTGAGATATTTTGTGAGCGTCGTGCTGAGTCTTCGTGGACTGTACGGGAGGCACCTTCCGATAAAATCTATTGCATATCTCTAATGACAAATATGAAGGCGAATGGGGGCCGTTTAGTTCGTTTAGGCAAGATCTGCGCGTCACCCTTCAGGACCAGGTGGTTGAGGGAGCAATGAGGTAGGCGAATGCTGCCATTATTTTCGTCATGACAACTTGACAAATTACAGGCAATTTTAGCCCCCATATCCGACCGACAGTCCTGATTGTAAGCTGAGTGTTATTGAGGCCCCCCATTGCTCCTCCGTCGGGTAGCTTTTGGGACAAATCTCCTTAAGGCGGACTCTTGTAACTCCTCATCAATGTCTTGGTAATGCGTTCTTTGGAGCGCGTTGATGTGACTGCAGCCTGCTCAAGCAACACATGCATACTACCGACTGCGTGTTGGCGACTTCTGAACATTAAGGGGTTATAAGGCGGACGCCGTTTGTGGTTGCCTTTAAACTACCCACACCAACCGAACATGAGTAGATTTTTTCAGTAAAATTAAATCCAAGCACACGGCAGATAGTTATTACCGATAGATAGAGATCCTGAAAGGCACAACGAGACGGAATAATTCCGTAAGAACAGCCGGTGAGCATCCGTCTAACACCAAGCAGACGGGTCGACCGATACAACCATCTTGATGGGGCAAGGACCTAATGTAAAGCGTTTTGGCCGTCTAACCGGTGTGCAAACCTGAGACCCCACCTCAGCAATCCATGAACTGATATTCCCTGACTGTGATAGAAAATAACCGAAAGTTATTTTCAGAATAGCCTTCACGATGAGTTAACGAGGCAATGACTTACGGGACTGCTAAGTCACCAGATAAATCCATTTTCTCCGGCATGTTATGTATATGGCAGTTTGCGCGTTAGGCGTAGCTGGGATTTAATTCCACAGACCTGAGGTCGTCTACACGGTGTAACGTGGGGCTTTTGCCAGGAGAGAGGGAGGTGAATATCGGGCAAGTCGAGCACTCAGGCTTCTTGTGATGAAAGTCACTCTAACTCTGTTAAGGTTTGTTTGGTGACCTACGCACTGGTGAAATTGCGTTACTGAGAGAATTAAACGACACCGGTGCGCCAGCGTCTCGTGTTAGTTTAATATTCAATTTCTCACATGTCAACAACACATCCGCAATTCCCGAGCACGGAATGGGACTCGTGAGGGTACCATTCGGGAGAGGCCCCCAAAACATTTGGTGCCTAGAAAGAATACCTACTATAACGTTTTGAATAGGCATTAGCCCGACACACTCGTTGTTTCATCTGAACTCAAATGGAACGTCGGGTAGTCAAGAAGCGACCGCTGTAGTCTGTTTGCTGAGTCATCTTCGCTACCATACCCTCCAACTGTTCTGTAGGGATCGCTGTAGACCTACCATGAGTTCAGCTCATAGAGTTGAGAAGTGTCCACTATAATTGCTATGCTGCTTAATCTACTTTATCATCAATTTTGACAGTTCAGAAGGGATCGCTGCCGAGCGGCCCATGGTTTTTCCATGCTCTCCGTGTAGGCAAAAGCATGGTTGTTTATATGCATTTAGGAAGAGAAATTATAGGGCTTGGAAAATGTTATAATCTATTTCGACCACTTTGTCGACCTTTTAATTAGCACCAATAAATATGCTGTTGCGATACTGTATGATTGGAAATTTCACTGTCCCTTAAAAACGTTGTTATTAGTAAACCCTTTTAAAACTGAATGATACTCCTTCTTCAGATGTTAAATCTAAAGATGGAATAGACTGCTACCAATTGAGTGGTAAAAAGAATTTCTGTGCATTTTTTCTGAAAAATATATTTAAATAGATAAGGTCATCAAGGTTAAACGGGAAAAAATCAGGTTAATTAAGAGGCCACTTTTTGAGGAATGTTATTTGCGCATTCGATATCTGGCATCCTGAAGTAACTGGTATATTTTGACATTATGCTAGCGTATAATAAATGTAAAATCCGCACTTAGGCAATATATTAGATTCAAATGCACATTTCAGAATTTCGGTCCACATTTCATGATATTGCAAAATGACTGCATTTTGAAGAAGACTTGGTGAGCTCGTAATCTTATTTAACCTAAAAAATATTTCGATCTAAATTCCTTGACGACGCACGCATCCTTTGAAGGATAAGCCTAACCTAAACTCATGTCACTGATTTCAGCAGTAGGTCCGATACACTAAAAGCGAACAAGGCTAATGCGGTGAACTCCGGTCTCATATCCCGCTTGCGCATTCACCAGTTGACGAAGTTTTCCGACGGAATAGCATTACCGACAAAGAGAAGGGAAGTTGGACTGGCCATTTCTGTCTTCCTAGTTGTACTCAGCCAATCGTGCCCAACTCTGATGTATGCGGCCTCCCAGACTCGAGCTCTCAACCTGTCGATTGGAAGTCCAACGTTTCAGCCATTGAGCCTCGGGCTGGTTGACCTGTCGGTTGTGCGTTCGTGCATTTATTTCTGCAGGTGTAACAGCCAGACATCATGACCGGTCTCGCGTCATTGTTCCAGACCTCGCTGCCTCAAGGTCATTCATCCCTTGCAGCGAGCCGTCCCAGACAAGCTGACCTGAACTCACACAACCAACACCTCGGGCATACCTACGTCCGCGCAGTCGCAGCTGCCCATGCGGTCACTTGAACGCGCCACCCCCTGCAACCAGCGGAACAAGCCACTGGGACACCACCCCTCGGCAAATGCAACACACGCTGATTGGACACCACTTGAGCTTGGCCTACTAGCCTACAAAAGCGGCTGCCACCACTGTCTTAGGGACTCTCAGGCCTGACCGGACGCAGTCAACAATAGCCCTGGCTTCGTCAGTGGCCACTTTCGCCTGAGAGGGCAACCCCGGGTTCTTTGCACAATAAATCCCTTATTCTGGTCCCCTTTGTCTTCTCCCTTCAAAAATGGTATTTGGCCTGACGATTGTAGCTCACATGGTGCATATATTCTCACTGCTGTGCCGCTGCACAGGTATACAGCCTCTCTGATAACGCACCTTAAGTATCGTGACCTCGTCTTCCGATAACTGCAGTGGCATTTGACACACCGACTAAATATCCTTAAACAATTGCGTTTTTGTTGTTTAGTGATTGTTGTTGTATCTCAACGCTTCAGTTACAGTTTATCATTTTACTGATCACTTCAAATTTTCGGCCATTGAAAATGAGGCCAGCTGGTTATTTTCTCTCCCCCCTCAATCAAAATTTACATATGCATGAAGTTCTTTGACGTTCTGCAGCTGATCGCTTTCAATGACGACAAAAATTTCGCCAACACACCGTCTCTAGAATGTAAGTACGTCGTTTCCACATACCAGCCAGTCCGAACTTCGCAGACTCGTCTCCGTTATGAGTCCTGCAGTCAGTGATTTTGTTGGCGTGCCTTCCATTGCCTCGTTGATTGTTTCGACCAGCTCAAAACACGTCCAGATATAGAGAGTATGTCAGAATGTGGAGGGTTTGCGGTGATAATGCTTTTCATCCTGTTTGCATTGCATGACCACTTCTATTGATATGAGGCCACTGAGACAAACGAAGACATTTTCGAACCAACTTGTTACTTTATTTTCCGCCGCTGTTAATGTTATGTCCGGAAGGAAGGTGTTCAAATGGTCTCTGACTATCAGCACACAAACCTGTTCCAGGCAAATCCGTATCTCATCATCTCTGAGATAATCTCTCGTAATTGAAATTATGTTTCCGTTACCGAATCAATTATGTGGTCTTTTCGACATCCATGTTTGGGAACCGACTCATTCATAGCACTTCGTCCCACAGTTTTTCTTTAAATAATACACCTCCCTTTAAGCTTCAACGTGTTTTGAACTTTTACCAAAAGCAATACCGCCTGTATATTTCTAGGAACCTTACGAAGTAAACAATCGGAGTCATTATTCACAAAATCTTCACCACGATCCTCCCAGCTTTACTTCAATGCCAATTCAGTAGTCTGATAAGGGTCAATGCGTTTATCGACTTTGCACCATGCATGCCATTCAAATTAGTCCATCAGCAGATCTTAACTCAGCAAATACTTACGTTGATATTAACCTTGACAGACGGACCTTGATATGTACCAGAACAAGCACAGTTATGCACCATAGCCGACACCTCTCAAGCTGTACCACCACTGTTACCGCAGTGAACAATAGATTTCGGCGAAACACTTTCGATTCTGCATAACCCCTGAGACCCATCCGGATGAAAAGCTACAGATGCATCTGCTGGCGGAAGATTCCTAGATTGATCTGTTAATACTTCATCTATATCGTGCATTTATCGGCTATGAAATTTCGCGTAAATGGAACCAAAACCCAACCTACACATCCAGAGTGACGATGACTTGCAGTACTTTAAAGGTCTGCAGCTGACCACTTTCAATGAGGACAAACATATCATCGACACACTGTGTCCAGAATCTCAGTCCATCGTTTCTGCATACCAACCACTCCGAACGTTGCAAACTCGTCTCCGCTATGAGCCCCGCAGTCAGTGACTTTGTTGGCGTGCGTTTCATCGTCTCGCAGATTATTTTGGCGAATGCAAAGCATGTCCAGAGAGAGGACACAGAATTTGTGGGATTCAAATATGTCCACGATACTTATC